GATGCTCAGAAAGAATCAGATGCAGAATTCATGGAATTTTCAACACAGTCATAATCATGAATTGAAGACTGGTGGCAGAGCGCTTGAAGCAGCCTTGAGAGAAATTGGACTTTAGTCTGAAGTAGACTAGGGTAGGCAGAGCCAGGAAGAAGACATCCACTGCTGTTGGCTGGCAGCGGGGTCTGTGGGCTGTGGGAAAGAGAAGGAATGTGAACGTCAAAGACCAGGACCTTCAGAGCCAGAATAATGGGGAAAAGTAAGTGTGGTACACAGCCAGCATGACAGATGAAGACACAGGAGGCAGAGTAGTTTGGAGGCGATGGTAACAAGAGAGTCACAGGGTATGAAGGAAAGGAGAGAAAGAAACAGGGAATTAGCTCAAGTCTGGACATGCTGCATTGGAAATATGCTATGACTTTCAGAAAATAACTGATAGTAGGCCAGTAGAAATTTAGCACAGAAATGTCTGCAGTAAGCCAAGGTCAGAGCCTGAGAGATTGCTTATTTTGAGATGTCAGAACAGACAGTAAATCTGTGATTCCTTCTTTCTTGGTCTCCACCTTCTCTACCTATTTTAGTTGAAATCACTTTGGGCTCACAGCGGGCCAGCCAATTTTTCTCTGACCTTGTTTTGATTGAACACCCCATAAATTGGGGGCCTCTCTAGGCATGTGAAGGGTACCCCCTTCCAGGACATTGGGAAATAGCTTGGTTGGCAGGAACCTTGAACTTGGTGTTAGCCTATAATAAATGCTGTGTGAACAATGAACTCCAGACTCCATGTGTTAGCTTTTCTGCCGTATCATCCATTATCTGCTGTAAATGCTTCTAAAAGTAAGTATTTTTGCTCCTATAATTTGGAGCTGGTTGGTGGGAGGGAATCCATGGTGATGGCACAGAGGGCAAGTGGCAAAGAAATAGAAATGTAACTATGGTCACTAATGACAATGAGGAAGAAATAAAAGGCCAGGACAGAATGAAGGGCAGAAGGTGGAAGCTGTGACCTAACTGCAAGAGATAGGTCTGAGTCTGAGCCTGGGCAGGGAGAGCACTTCCGGAGATTCTAAGCATGAGAGTCCAGAAGGAAGGGTGAGGTTTGAGGCTCTGCCCTGGGGTCCTGAGGAGGCAGCGGGGTTTCTACCTTGAAGGCCTGCCAGGAAAACCCTGCTGTCCCTGAGAGGAAGACAGTGAGAGAGCCAGTGGCCCAGCTGAAGAGTCCCACATGCCTTAAAACAGAGGTTTCTCTTAAGGCCAACTTTGGGCCAGCAGCTGCCTTCTAACATTCCATCTGGTGCCTCAGAGTATTCATTCCATCCATTGTGCCTCTTTCTGAAGCAGTTCTGGAGTCTTATTTTGTGAGGGTCTTTATGAGATGTGCTCAAATTACCGTGAATGCTGCTGTGGAGAGCTATCCAATGAGAAGGTCAGCTCATAAAAACGTCACAGTGGGTGTCACCCACTGTAATCACTGAGTATGTCACCACGTTACCCTGGGCTTGCTCAGAGTCAATGACTATGAAAAGGAAATGCTTTTAACTGGTTTTGGACATTCAAGTAGCCATGAGAGTGCAGCTAAAGACACAGAAAAAGATTTCCAGAACTGCTTCAGAGAGTGGCAAGATGATGGGACATGTATGTTGAACTCATTGGAAGGATTTTGAGGGACATTAATGGCAAGATGTTTATTGTAGTAATTTCTTAAATTTAAACATTAACTATACTTTTAGATGATACCTCACAGGAATGTGCATGTGTGTGTGTGTACGTGCGTGTGTGTACGTGCGTGTGTGTGTGTGTGTGTGTGTGTGTGTGTGTGTGTGTGTGTATGTAGGAAAATACACATGCCATGGAAACAACATTTGAGCTATTACAAAGTTAGGATTCAGGGATGTTTATTGCCTTCATAATGTTGTATAAAATCATCACAATCTAGTTCCAGAACATTTTTATCACCACTCTTCAAAAATCATACACCTATTAAGCAATCATTTCTCATTCTCACCTCCTCAAAACCCCACACAATAACAAATCTACTTCCTGGTTCTTTGGATTTGCTTATTTTGGGAATTTCCTATTAGTGGAATCATATGATATATATCATTCGTAGCTGGCTTTTTTCACTTAGCACAATTTTTCAAGGTTCATCTGTATTGCACCATGTGTTACGACTTTTTTTTCTTTTCTGCCAAATAGTATCCCGTTATCCATCTGCCAGTTGATGGATATAGAATCTCTTTATACCTTTGGCTACAGTGAATAATTCTTGAATGAACATTCATGCACAAGTTTTTATTTGAACATTTCTTTGTAATTATTTGGGATAGAAACACCTAGGAATAGAAATGAATCACTTGGTAATTCTATATTTAACTTATTAGGGAGCTGCAAATCTGTCTTTCACAGCAGCACCACCTGTGTGTATCCAAATTACCCTTCTTCCACTTCTTCCACACGTTCACCACTACTTGTTATTTTCCTTTGGTTTTGATTATCGCCACGCTAGCATGTGTGAAGAGCTATGTCATTGTGAGTTTTTTTATTTTGTTTTGTTTTCAAAATTATAATTGCCAAAAAAAAACCCCAAACAACTCTTAAGTTAGAGTGCAAAATTTAAGCACCTTATTAAAGATGCAATAGCAAGAAAGTATAAGCACATCCACATTTTAAATTGTTCTATGCAGGGGCTGACGGTTTAGCTCAGCGGCATAAGCACCTGCCTTGTAAGCAGGCAGTCGTGAGTTTGATCCCCGGTACCGATAAAAAGGAAAAAGACAAAAAAAAAAAAATTGTTCTATGCATGGTAGCTAAATGTCATTTAAAAACACTGATGGATCAGCTTTTCTATCAAAAATGTCATTGTGTTTTGATTTGCATTTCCCTAATGACAAACAATGCTGAGCTTCTCTTCAGGTACTTCTTCAATATTTGTCTATCTTGTTCGGAGAAATACCTGTTCAAGTCTTTATGGATTAATTGGATTGTCTCTTCCTTATTGATTTGTAATGTTTTTTTTTTTTGTACTGTTATCAAATATAGACTTGTATTTTCTTCCATCCTCTAGGTGGCCTTTGCGTGGGGAGGGGTTGAAGCAGGGTTTCACTGGTTAGTTGAGGCTGGCATTGAACTCACTAAGTAGCCCAGGATGGCCTCAAATTTGTATAAATCCATTTGTCTCAGCCTCCCAACTGCTGAGATTACAGGCATGTGCCATCATGACCCCGCTCCCTATGTATTTTTTTTACTAGATGGCAAAAGGCTTTTAATAGAAAATATGTTTTAATTTGATGAAATCCAATACAATTTTTGTTAATTTTCTTTCAGTGTCATATCTAAGAATCCACTGATAAGTCCAAGGTCAAGAATTTTTATCTCTATGTTGTTTTCTAAGAGTTTTGACTGTTCTAGTTACGTCAAGCAGGACTTTTTCCAGAGATATGTGTGAGTTTGAAGGAAATCAACAATAAATGGTGCAGTACCAAGCAGGGAGGGAAGGCAGGGAAGCTGCCACCATCCCCAGAGCTGAGGAGCACAAAGTGCAAGCAGAGTTGCAGCTGTACCATCAGGACTGGCCACTGAGCAAGTGTCCTGCAGTAGAGGGATATGTTCAGTAAACAGCGCCCCAGGGAGGAGATAGCCAAGGACTCCTCTCTGTTCTGACTTTTTGCGGGTGTCTTACTCCCCCACTGGCTGAATCAAGAGAGCTACCAGACACAGTCAGTCATTCAGGTCAGTCGCTCAGGCCACTGCCTAGAGAAATAAGAAGGAAAGAACGGAACTGGAGATACCAGCATCAGGATGATAGCTCACAAAGATGTATAAATCCTAATCCTGATAACCTGTGGACAGGTGACAAAAAGGAGTTTGTAGATCTTGCAGACCTTGAGATAGGGAGAGCATTCTGTATTATCTAGGGAGGCTCAATGTAATCACAAGAGTGAAAGATTTGAAGATACTTATCTATTGGTTTTGAAGATGGAAGAAGAGACCATAAATCAGAGAGGTGATCTTTATAATCTAGAAAAGAGTACGAAATACTCTCTCTCCTATAGCCTCCAGAAGCAGTGCAGCTCTGACAACTTTATTTTGTCCCAGTGAGATCTATATTGGGTTTATGATCTCTAAAAATGCATAATAACAAATCTGTGTTGTTTTAAGCCACTAGATTAGTGGTCATTTGTGATAGCAACGAAAAGACGCTTCCACAAAAGGGGCAAATGGAGGCTCCCTCTGCCTGGGACCTGGATTACTGGTGTGGAAAGAACTCCAGGTCATCACATTTATTCTCTTGAGACCAAGTTTCATGAGTTCCCATTTTATTCTCAAGAGGGGAAATGTATAATTGCCCTTTGTGATTACATCTCATGTGTTTAATCAGAGAAGTTGAATTGCTCTGATGGAGAAGCAGGAATTTCTTATAGAGAGTGATCCATATCCAGGAGTCTGGTAGGAAATTCTATGCATGGCGGTTGCCTCTAGTGTTGAGTCTGAAGTCAATTTAATTCAGGCACACAACCAGTGAAGAGGAGAAATGATTATAAAAAGAGCAAGGCTAAACTAGAACCACCAGGACTATCTGAAACCCAAGCTGGTTTCCCAACCGACATTGATGACATAAATGATGTGGTGAAGAAGCCACGCCCTTTGCCACAGAAATGCACAGTGCCTGGGCCAAGACTTAGAGGAGCTAAAGGAGTTGCTCAGGCTGCCCTGGGCCAGCAAAGCAAGACAGCAGAAAATCAGCACACACATGAGCAGTGGCAGTGCTGTAACCAACTGCTATGATTTAGACCTACAATGTCTCCCCAGAACCTCATGTGTTTGGAGCGCAGGGCTTTTGGAAGTGGTTAAATCATGGGGTCACTGTTCTTATCAGTGAGTTCATCTGCTAATGAGCTTGGTAGCTGGATGTGCTGTTAGAAGGTGGAGCCTGAGAGACAGGTCACCAGGGGCGTGTCCTGAAAGGGTGTATTTTCCTCCCTAGCTCCTGCCTTAGTGCTCTGCTTTCTGCTCATCGTGGTGTGAGCTGCTTTACTTTCTACTCCACTACCATGCTGGTTCTGTCTTGGAGTTAGGCCACCACTGACTGAAAATGTAAGTCCAAATAAACCTCTCCTCCTTTAAATTGAGAGTGTCAAGTGCTGTGTGAGAAAGTGACTGAGGCACCAGCTTTCAGAGCACAACATGGCTACAAACTGCTTGCATCTTCTGAAGCTCCCACAGGTAACTCTTGTGCCCAAGCATAACTTAGAACCTTAAAAGAAAGGAAATTCTGGGAATTATTCCACACTGTCTGAGTTGATAGGTTTTAAAATTAACGATGTGGAAAGTCGAGATTTGTTAAATGCCTACTATGTGTCAGAGACTCCAGCTTCTCCCCTTCATTTAATTCAACCACATTTTCACACTTCAGTTCACATACAAGGAAACAGAGCTTAGAGAGGTGAAATGATATACTAAACCGTATAGCTACTCCAGAACGAATGCAGGAGATGCTCAATATTATTAATCATTAAATCGGAGCCATCATGAAATTCTTCTTTTATTTACTAAGATGCTGTAATGGTTGCTTGGTTGTGACAATGAGACATTCAGAGGCTTAACTAAATCAGTTCAGCAATTGTACACCCCAGATGTGAGACCCACTCTACGGTGGCTCATGGCTGGATGGTATAAAGGGGAACTGAGGGAAGATGAATCTGTTTCTGTTCTTCAGAGGCTCTCCAGTCTTTGCCTTCAACCTGGATGTCATCTCCTGGCTCCCAGCGCAGACTCTTCGGCTTCCATTGTAGACTCTTGAGCCTTCTAGCTTTTTGCTTTGGCTTCTGCCTTGGATTCTTCAACCTTCCAGTGCAGACAACTTTTCAGCCTGCAATCGCAGACCCGCCAGCCTTCAAATAAAGACTTTCACAGGACTCTACAGTGAGCTCCAAACATTGTCCTGAAGTCTTTGGTTTCCAGAATGCAAACAAGCTCTGCACTCTTCCTCATCCAACTCTGGCTGACCATGGTAAGCCAATCATGAAATTTCTTATACATTTGTATACTTTGTGTTACATCTGTGTCCCTAGTAAACACTGACACACATTCTTATAATAGAAAAGATGGAAAATAACAAAGATTGTGAAGGATGTGAAGAAATTGCAGTCTTCATACATTGCTGATGGGAATGTAAAATGGTACAGTTTACTCTGGAAAGCAACCTGGCATTCCTGAAAATGCTAGGCACCATGTTGTAATATGACCCAACAACTCCACATAAACTTACATAAATGTCCATAGCAGCCTTATTCATAAAAACCCCAAACTGAAATAACCCAAATGCTCACCAGCAGACTAACTGATAAGTAAAAGGTGCTCCGTGCATATAATGAAATATTATTCAGCCATATAAAAGAATCCATATACTGGTGTATGGTAACAACATGGTTGAACCTTGGAAGAAGTCAGACACAAATGGCAACATATTGTATGATTCCATTGATATAATGCATAGGATAAGCAAAGCCATAGAGAAAGAGTGCAGATTCATGATTATTTAGAGCTAGGGGTGGTTACAGGGGAAATTGAGAGTGACTGCTGATGGATACAGTTTCTTCTGGTGTGTTAAATGTCACTATACTGATTATAGTGATGGCTGCACACCTCTATGAATGAGCTAGAAAACATAGGTTCATGGCATGGCACCATAAGGACTTAAAAATCATGCTTTAGCAAAGGGAAAGCACAGAATCCAGCAAGAGTTTCTCTGACTCCAAAGCCATGCTGCCCCCTCAGTGATAGCAAACTCCCAAAGTCATTGGGCAGGAGAGCCGCCTAGGGAGCTTGTTAACTATGCACATGCCCTTCCCTTCCCAAACCTAGGTGAGAAGCAAGTGTCTGTGTGATTAATGGGCTCCCCTGGTATGTTGGGTGCAGGGGGTCAGAGACACCTGAAAAGACCCTGGTCCACTCTACATAGGACTTGTACATCTCAGAACCAACGAATGGCATCTTGGAAGCCAATGAGGTTAGATAAAGTAGTTTTGAAGGCTAATTTTTCTATAGATAGCAATTTTTCTTTTCTTTTTAAGAGAGTAAATGGATTGAAAAGATAAAGAGTTAAAGAGATGGTGGAATGTCATGAACTGAGAGGTCTGCAGAAGGAAGAGCTGGGATAGAGATGCGTTTGGAGGAGGCTGCACTCAGCAGAAGAGGAATTCAAAAGGTTTGTGGAAATTACTCAAAGGTGGAGAGAGAGCAAATACCCACCCCCTTAGCTGAGTTACCACCTGCTTGGAGCTTCCAGGATGCATTACTTGATTTTCAAGTGCAAGCCTTGCGAAAGAGAATTTCATTTTATACCATTGGTTCTCTAGGGTTTCTTTTTGAAGAACTAATCTGAACAAGATTGGAATGCACCCAGCAGTGGAGGTTAAATTTCAATCTTTTTGTGCTGTTACATCTTTGTTCCCTTTACCTTCTCCTTGAAGTAGAAATGATTGATGCTTAAGTAACTTTGGCTATTGAGTAATGTTTACTCAGACTGCAAGGGAACCAGACAAGGGCTTTAAAATAAGGTGGAAATTTTTCCTTTGAATGGCACTAGCTGAACCTTTGAAAGTTAAGTGTATTCCCAATTGTGTAGTATAATAAAGATGGAAGAGGCCAGCAGGCAAAAGTTCTCCCAGAAATGATCAATGTACACTGGTTAAGTGGAGCTCAAACAGGCTTATGAAGCCACCTGAGATGAAGCCCCTGGTTATAAATATTGACTGAGTCCTGAATTGTTTTGAGAGTATTTTATATCCTTTAGTGATCTTTTCAACACAGGAACTGGAGGGCTTGGTAAATAAGCTTCTAAAGCTGTGAAGAAAGAGGCAAGTCATGCTCCTGTATTGCAAACTCTCTAGATAATGCCAACCACCTCCTCAGATTTAAGTGAGGTCTGGCAAAGAAAAAGTAAGCATTCCCTCCACACCTGTGACGACGATGATTTTCTCTGGAGGGGACCCAAAATGCTACTTATTCAGTCTCTTTTGTGTGTGGGCTTTTCCCTTATTGATAAGTTCAAGTTGCCCAAGCTATACTGGCCAGAAACCAATCCAAAACACATCATGGCATAGTGCTGTTTGATGTTAAAATCTGAAACTATGCAAGCAAAATCAGAGAAGAGTAATTACTTCTTTCTCTCAATTTTGCTAGGCCTCCCTAGAAATTGGTCATCTTTGAACATGTGGACTGAAGATGAAGTGAGGGAACTCTACTTTCCTGGTAGAGAAGAGGGAATTATGATTTTCTGTGGTTTTTGATGATGAGCCATCAACAAGCCTTTGTGGAGTACTGTTATGGCTTGTATCTGGATGTCCCCCCAAAGCCTAATACAGGTATCATTGAAGCTTTTCGTAGGTAAGATTTTCAGATATTTTCAGGTGTGTGATGCTGGGGTCAGGGATGCAATACTAGAATTAAAGGTGTGAGTACCTTCCAGAAGGGTGAGTGGCCTAGACGAGATATATGAGACCAAAAGGGTGTCACTCCTTGTCACTGGCTGCTTGTTACTTATTTATAGCTGCTGCTTGTCTTCTGCTCTGAGATGCCAATTCTGCCATGCAACCCTGTCTTGGACTCAGCCAATTATGGACTGAAACTTCTACAAACTGTGAGCTAAATAAACCTTTTCTTCTTTGAGTGTCAGATATTTTATCTCAGCAACAAAAAAAGTAATTAAAACAAGCACCATAAGGAAACTACCTTCTCCTTCACTGGCTGGCATGGGAAATGGAGGGAAGAGCTGAGAGTTTTCTTGCATATTACACCCACCATGCTTTGATCCTTGGTCTTGCAGATGAATAAAGTGACATCTTTTGCTGAGCAGACCATCACCCAAATCCAGTCCCACTAGACTGTGACCAGTAGTGGATCAGGCCCAGTATGAAAGGGATGGAGGGATGGGACAGAGTGTGCAACATTTCCAAGTGGGAGGCCTCTGTGCTGGTGCCTGTGGGAGATCGTTCACCTCACTGACAGCTTCTCTGGTATCTGACCTCTTCCTGCTCCTGTTGTCTGACTATCCCAGCCAGCCTTGCCCACTGAGCTGGCCCCTCCCAGACAGCCAGTCTCAACCGTAATTTAATTTTCAACTTTTCCTTTCTATTATTTTTAAGTGCTCAAGCCCCTGAAGGTGATGCGAAATGTTTCTCATGCTGTGACCTGCACATCAGCCCAGGTGGAGAGCTTTTCTGCACATTCCCTGCAGGTGAATCATGTCAGCAGTAGGTCAGGCCTGCATCTCTCTTTCTCACCCTCCTCCCTCCCTCCTTCCCTTTCTCCGTTTCCCCCTCCCACCTCCCCTTCTCCCCTCCTCGTTATTTTTGCTTCTGTGGATACTGTTCTATCCAAATGTGGGACTAGTGATTTTGCTCTGCTAAACTCTTTGTGTGGCAGCTCCTTTTCTGGATAAAAGAAAAGAAAACCAGATAATCATGGCTTATGTAGGTGCCGACAGGCCTGGGCGCTTGACTCCACCTGTGCCAGCCACCTCCCCTGTGAAACGCAGGCAGCTTGTTGCGGCATGAACCGCAGCTGCCCAGCGGCATGAGCTCACCTGCATTCCTGGGTGGCTTTGTTACGCCTGACACCGAGTGCCTGACAGTGACTGAGCCCTTCCTGGCAGGCCTCCCAGGACTAAGCTGGAGGCTGGCTCAGAATCGGGGAGAATTCCTGGTTTTGTTTTGGTCCTGTCCTCTGTGACCTGGGAATAGAAGGGTCCAGGCTCAGTCTCATTGCCCCAGGCAGTGGTCTTCAGTCCAGAAACCTTAGGGGGTCACATGTTACTCTGATGAGTTGGGGAAACTTGAATCTGTGAGTGGGGTACCCTGCATTGTCAGGTAATGCTGAAGCTGGATTCCGGACAAATATTTGATTAACAAGGCCTGGGGGTTTCCAGCAGGCTGGACCTAGGTCCAGAGCCAGCTGGGGCCTTCACAGAAACATCCCCAGTGTATGGAGAGGGATGAGAAGCAGCAGAAGGCAACCTGGGGTACACCAAGAGGACAGCACTGTGCTGGCAGTTTTCACAGTCATGACTGACAAATGGGGATGATTGTGCTAAAAAAAATTCACTTGTCAGAAGAGGCCTCCCTCCTCCCTTCCCTGCCTTCTACTTTATACTCCACAGGCAGAAACCACAAATATCCCCTGCCGACTTTTTTTGTAGTTCCCCGGGCCAGGAGACACTGCCCAGTTTCTCAGGGCATCACGCGGGGCCTGTTCTGATCACAGTTCCTTCTGAGCTCCTGCCCAGCATGTCAGTCCCTGCCTCCTAACCCTCCACCCTCCTTTAGACCAACACCCAAGGATGCCCTGTCCTTTCAGAGGCCCAGCCCAGCAGTCCTCCTCTGGGGTCCCCCACCCCTAGGCCTCTTCACACTGCACATTTCCCTGCTCCAGGGCTTTCCTTGTTGTTCCATAATTATCTCCCACACTGGTCTCTGAGCACCTCAAAAATAGTACCTGCCAGGCACGTGGCATTCAGTCAGTGCCCGTTTCAGATATAAATGCCATGAAAGCCTGGCCATTTTGTCTTCACCCTGTGAACCGATGGGATGCAAATTTGACAATGTAACAAAAATGCGCCATGCACAGAGCCTAAGGAAACACAGAGGACCCTTCTGAAAGGTGGAAAGGCACTGGAACATGAGTCTTCCAACATAGAGGGGCTGGAGGGAAGTTCCCTCTCAGGATCTCCCCCTTAATCTTCCCAAATAAGAGTGAGAGCAGTGCTGGCTGCCCTGTGCTTGGGCTACTTGGCATCCTTGCTTGGTACTGACTGCACCTGGCTGCTGAGTGCCAATCTGAGGGTGTGAACCAAAGATCCCTTTGACAAGGAAGTTTAAGCCCACAGCTGTGTTCTGTATGAGGCCTCAGCACTTTGGCGGTTCTGGACACAGATGTGCTTTTCCCATCTCTTGATGGGTTTCTTATCACTTTGTGGGCCTTGAATACTTACTTTTGGAGAACCCACTTCCTGTTCTTTCAGGTAGATTAAAACACATCCTGGGTTACACACAAACACATTTTTAGGTAATCAAAACAGTGTGGTGTTTGAGTTAGAGACAGCACACTGGGTTTTAACAACAAATTCAAAGTGTGTCCATTGTAGTTTTTGGATTTTCACTCTCTGCCTCTGGGGGGGAGCCCCTCCATCTCCCTGGAGGGTCTGGGGTCTTGCACTCAACTTAGGCAGATCCTTCTGGCTGCAGAGGGTGTGTGGTAGAAACAGGCAGCACTTCTCTTTTCTCCCCTTGTCTTCGCCGACAGGCATCATAATGATCCCTCTTTTCCAACTTCAGGACTCTTCCTCCAGCTTTTCTCCTCTCTAGGAGGGCGGGAAGTAAGTCCACTTTACAGGAGAGTCATTTACCTCCAGCCAGAAACTTCCAGATAGCCCTGAGGACCTCAAAATGGATTTAGGGGGTTGTACTTTTCCTACAGGTACAACTGTAAAGTTCTGTCTTTCTGATGTCTCACAAACCCAAAGTCCTTCTTTGGCAGCACTGACTTGTGCACGGCCCAGGGTGGCTCTTATCCAGGATTTGTCCCAGTCCTTCTGTCTCTAAGTGTCCTCACCCTTTGCAGGTACCGTCCTAGCAATGTGAGGGACAGGTCACTTCAGCCCCAGGTGCCTTAATACCTGGCCCTGCTCACCAGATGTCCGTGGAAACACACCTATAGCCAGCAGCCTCTGGACCAAGGCTGGGCCAGCAGCTGCGGCCACTCCACATTCCTGTGCACCTCCCCTCCGGGCTGGCCCAGACAAGCAGCCACCCCAGCCAGCTCTGGACATGCAAGCTGAGGCAGGAGAACTGCTGGGCCAGGCCTCTCCCTCTCCTCAACTGTGTCTAATTGCAGCGTGGATATGAGTGTCAGGAGGGACTGAGGGAGCATGTTAACAGGTTGAGCGGCTCCTGCTAGGAATTCGTTGGCAGCCACTTCTCTTGTGCCAGTGAGCCAGTGAGCGTGAGGCTGAGCCACAGAGACAGCAGAGGGAGGAGAGCTAATTAAGCTGTAAGCTGCCCCAGAGTCCCAGCCCATTTGTAATTATGCTCTCTCATCTCAGAATCTCCTCAGGCTCTTTGGGAGAGCTGGGAGGAGAAAGGGGGCAGATGATTGAGAGTTGATCAGGGCTTTGAGAAATGGAGTTTCATAAAACTGACATTTATACCATTCTTGGAAGATCTGGCTCCCTGAAAACAACCATAAACTATGCCTAATTCTGCCATGTGACCTCAGGTGCTCCAATCAGCTGACCCCTTGGGGGAGGGGGCTGATTGGTCCTGCATACATCAAGGGACTGCCTACATGGTGTGATTTGAAAGGGTCCTCCTGCTCCTGCCCACTAGAATACCTCTCTGACAAAGCTTGTTAATGCTGGGATGGAGCAGCACTTCGGTAGTCTGCCTTGGCATCACAAAATTCCAAGCATTGAGCTTTGCCATAAGAAACCAGATAGTGGGAAGGAGTAAAGTTCCAGTATATAGGCTGGTATATAATTGTTATGTCCATAACCTGTGTTTTTAAGCCAGCAAATCAAGACATGACATTTTTAGAACTAATTTTTTAAATGAATGACCTGAGGGCCAAGAAAGGCTAGCAACTTGGTCAAAGGTCCACATGCCAGTGTGGCACAGGGAGGGTGGTTTCCAAGCCTGCTGCTCTCAAACATAGCGGATAATGTGGTTTCCAATAGTGCAGCAGGAGAGAAAGTGGGGAAGTCGAGGACACGTGGGGCATCACAGTGCAGAGGCTGGCGCTGGGCAGCGGTGCCAAGCAGAGAGAAAGGAGTGGAGCCTGAACTCGGCTCCCGGTATCAGCTTAGGTCATTTTTTGATTTGTTCACTGTTAGGAAAATACGAGTTGGTTACAGAGCAATGCTCCAAAGGATACAATGCACGCAAAAGCCTCACCCCGAGGTGCTTACGTCTGGTAAGTTCATCCTATGTGGTCCTGGGTGCTGCCGACAATTAACTGGGCTCTGGGCAGAGTACAGGCTCTCCCCAAAATGCTGTCCCCCAGAAGGTGAGGTGGGGGCGGGGCTGAGCTGGAGCAGCCCCTATCTGCTCAGGCTCTGAAGAAAACCAGGTAACACGAGGCTCCCCTCAGCTTAGACAGTACCTATTTCTTTTAAAAACAGAGAAAGAGAAGGAGACAGGCAAGATTCCTGCCTGAAACTGCTCGCCCTGTCACTGTGGCCAAGCCCCAGGAATTCTGCCCTGGCTGGAAAGATCCAGGCCTCAGCACTTTTCTGAGCAATGAAGACTTGGGCCAGAGACTCCACCCCTGTGATTCCTGATTCCTGTTCACAGAAGGGCAGCAAGACGCCTCAGAGGGAGCAGACCCTCCAGGCCCTGCTAGCAAGTGGATCTTCAGACTTTCTCTACTTGTATTAAAAATTGTGAAATATAAGCGACTATTATTTTATAGACTTTTCATTAAAACTCGGAGCTGAGAAACTTAGCCCAGTACCTGGCATAGAGGAAGCACTTCCCCTTACAAATATTCAGTAGAGAAATAATAATTTTTAGTTATAAAGGCAGCTATCATTGTAAACAGATTTAGAACACATGGAAAAAGGACATAATTATGTTCCTATCATCTCCATTCCTTGACACAACACTGCAATGATATACATCCTTCCAGACCCACTGAGTATACCTAGATCATAAACCGAGTATGTCTATATCACACAAGATAAATATGACATATTTATTATGGGATGTGGGTACTGTTTAACTGCAGGACTGTCCCTCTGTATCCAGTGGTGATAGGTTCCATAGCCTCACAGATACACTAAAATACAAGAATACTCAGGGCCTGTATATAAAATGTCATAGTATTTGCATATGACCTGATACCCAACCACCTGTATACTGTAAAATTATCTCTACTTTACTTATAATAATTAATTCAATGCATATGCTAAGTAAATAATGCTTATGTTGTGTTATTTAGGTAATGACAAAAAACAAAAGCCAGAATGTTCAGGAGAAATATAATTTCTTTTCAATGATTTTTGATCTGCAGTTATTTGAATACAAAGATACAGAGCCCATAATGCTGGAGGGCAGACTATAGTTTAACTACCACATCTTTCATATTAATAGATATTCCCCAATTTTTCTTGTTAATGGTTGCATAGTATTCCTTTGTGTTATAAACAGTTCCTGAATAATCATCCCTGTATGTAATTATTTACTCACTTGCCTGCTAATTCTCTCTGGATAACTCTCAGAATTTGAACTCTCAGAATTAATAACTAGGTGCCCATGACCCAAACCCCCTTCAGGATGGACTTCTCCCTGAAATCTTTACTCATACCAACAGTATATGCACAGTTAATTTGCCTTGTGTATGAACTCTCTGCAAACTCCTCTACTCCATAGAGTTAATTTCTAAATTCAAAACAGGACCCACAGCACTTTCAGAATCAATCTGAGTGACTAGAGCTCCTGCTGTCACCTGATGCCCAACAAGGCAACATTCTGCCTTCTCCCAGCTGCGCCCAGATTGTCAACACTGTCTTTGGCTCTCCTGAGCACTGCACTCTGCGTTGTTGGACACTGCAGTGGTGATTTCTCTGTTCACAGCAGCCCCCACCACCGTGTGCGGGTACTTCGTAGGGTTCCCAAGAGCGGGAGGCTCTGATGTGCTTTGTGAGTTAGATAAGCTTTGTCCAAGCACAGATTATAGGGGTGCAAGTTCAGTGCAAATGAATCTGCAGTATACATTAACTAATGTGCCTCTAAATAGAAATACACATAATACGAAGTATTGATCGGTCAACAAAAATCTGATCAGAGACTCACAGAAACCCAACTCGGCACTTGCCCTCGGCACAGTGGTTTAGCATTTGCTAATTCAGTACTCACATTAATTACATTGAATTTAACTCCATGAATCCCAGATAGCCGAAGTCTTGCTTGAGAATTGGGGGCCTCCCTTAGTTACTTGCATTCTCCCCAAAAAGACTTTCCCGAAAGTATTCTGCGGCAAATAATATTCAAATTTTTAATTTTTTAACACTAGACCCCCTTGTATATGAAAAACACCAATAAACACAGTGTGTGTGTTGGAAGTCTGAGACTTTGCTACAATTTGGATTTCAACTCAGCATAACTCATTCCTCTTTTCCTCTTTGTGAGACCCTGTATTTGGCCAAGTTCCTCACTGGAATCTCTCTGAGGCACAAGCACCCCGCTCACATGTCCCCTCACCCAAAAGCAAACTCCACATGACACCCTTGACCTTTACCACGCACTGGGGGTGAAGGCCATTGATACTGTTGGGAGGGTGACATGGCATGAATCATCATGTTTCCCAAACCCCAAAGAAGTAAACAAAAGTCTCATCTGATTTATAAATGTGTTCATGTGGGAAAAGAGGACTATTTGCAGAAAGGTGATATTTGGTGACACACAAGAAGCAGACAAAGTTCAAACTTCAGTATTTGTGAAGAATTTTCTTAAAACATAGCTATGCCCATCTGCTACCTTTGTCTGCGGCTGGTTTTTCAATGCCAAGGTAGAGTAGAGCAGTTGCTATAGAAACCAAACAGCCCTATAAAGTCTGGAATATTTGCTCTCTAGCACTGTTGAGAGAAAATTGGCCAACTGTTGACCTGGAGATATGAAAGGATATTTGATCACAATACACTGGTAAGTGTACGTGTGTATGCACGAACATTCATGTTTGCAAATGTTCTTTTGTTTACAGTAGTGGTTTTCAAACTATTTGGCCTTCAAATTCTTTTCTAATCCTGAAAGTCAGTGAGGTTCCCAAAGAGCTTTTGTTTTGATATAAGTTATATAGATTACTGTTGGTCATATTCAAAATTAAAATTATGAGTGTTTACAGCAGTTATTCATTGGTTTAAAATAACCTAATAAACTCATCGTGCATTTTTGTGAAAAATAACTATTTTCAGTAAATACATCAGCTGAGAAGAGTGGGATTAATATACATTTTTGAAAATTTTTTAAACTCTGAGTTAACTGAAGACAAGTGATTCTCAGAACTACTTCTGTGTTCACTTTGCTGAGTGATATCTCAGCGTCACAGCCTCTGGGGAACTCCATCATACACTTACTAAAGAATGAAAATGAAATTAACAATAAAATCATGGTATTATTATGAAAATAATTCTGACCTAGTGAACCCTTTAGAAGTCTCTCAGGGACTCCAGAAGTTTCCAGTCACACTCCAAGGATCACTAATTTAAAGACACTCTAAAAATGGCCACTTCAGTTATAATCACTGGTTTAGGAACCCTGGAGTATCCCAAGCCACATTTTGAGAATCTCTGGTTCATTCACATGGAGAATCTTGCTTTCCTTTCAACAAGATAACTAGAGAGTCAGAGGCAGAAAGGACTGGACAGCACCAGCCATGGCTTCATTTGTCATGGACGTGTGAGATGGAGCCACTGACTCCCCTGAATCCCAGCAACTGTGTTTTGGGGGTGTTTCCACAGCCTCTCCAGGCTTCCTCCTTGAGGTCTCTCCTTTCTTCTGCCCTCACCCATGAGCTGGGGAAAGGGAAGCTACCTGGTGACTTGCTGGCTTGGGAAAAGGCAGAGCGTTCCACTTCCCAGCTGCAGTGCCTTCCACGCACCTGGAGCTGCTGCTCCTCTGGCCGATTCCCTAGAGCTCCTTCCTTCCTGCAGTGACACATACCAATGCCCTTGGGGCCATTTCTCCAGGAATGTAACTCAGTCACTCTATTCTTATGCCTGTTTTTACTCTACTTTTCTTTAATTTTCATTTCTAAGCTGTTAGAGCTACTCTGTTAAAACAAAAGAACTGCCTTTTCTTCAACCGGAGCATGAAATGAAACCAAATTGCTCTGAGCGTGGTGGCACGGTCTACACCATGCTGAGAGCAGCACTGGCTCCATCTTGTATGGCACACTTCTGATGAGAATCTTAGTGCACGTTCATCGTCGGCTCACAGTTTCCACAAGAGTCTTAAGTGCTTGGGACACAGACTGAAAGCTGTACACCCTCATGTCTGCCTTCTTCTTTTTCCTTCATTATAGAACCCATGATTTGAGACTGGGCCTATGGTCTCCCCATGTGAAGACTATACCTGCAAGCCTCCTGTCCACACAGATCCACTCAGGAGGCCAACTTTTGGTCAGTGGGATGAGCCCTTACTTTCTCGTTTCCTAACTGGAAGAGTGGTGATTCCAAGATTCTAGCCCAACCAGGCAGCCCAAGCTTGCACCTTTTTTTTTTTGGGGGGGGGGGGATGGGTACTGGTGATCGAACCCGTGACCTCATGCTTTCCAGGCAGAGGCTTATGCCATGGAGCTGTATCCTTGGCCCAAAGCTTGCACTTTTGACAACAATGTTTACTGCCTAATATTTTAATGTATGTTGAACTTCTTTTAAGGGTTGATTTTCTGGCTCCATTTACTGTTTATAAAAATCTGTTACTATTTGACACTGACTTCAAGAGTAGAGCTACCAGGTAGCCTGCTGCAAACCATAACAGACAAAATTCCCTTTTTATTCTTAACCCCTCTGAACTCATGGGTATGGAAGGGCACATGTGTACATACGCACATGTTCACATATGAGACATCGGGATGATATGTTGCATATCTTCCCAGCTTATCAGAGACTGGCTTTTAGATCCTCTATAAATGGTCATGATCCTGAAACCACCAAAATATCCCATAATAAACAATCATGTCAAATACCAAATATTTATCATGCTTCTAATGGGTCCAAAGGGAACACCACTTATTGATCATTGTAAGCCCCAATGTTTATTTTTCCCTAGAGCAAAAACTATTTGGAGATTCTTTCCATCAGTTAAAGTAGCTTCTTACATCTGGCCCGCCTAAAGTGGTGTCCTGAATAGATAGGACACCCAGGCAGCCTCAGGTGAGAACAAGCCAGTACAGATTCCTGTTGCAATCTTTCAGATCTTTAAACTGGTCATGCTAGGCTGTCCTGAAATAATTAATTCACCCTAAATTTAACAAAGGATTATTCCCTGCCCAGTGTGGATGGTCAGGGGCTGTAAGAGAGTAAAAGGAGCTATGGCCAACATACTGACTGACAGACACTGACTGAGGACAGACCCTGCATCTAGCAGCTGTGTTCTCTGAAATACATGGACTCCTTGATTACCACGGCAAGGGAAGGCAGCACACAGGTACCTCACCCCAACCAGGAATTATGCTTCAGCATGGGAGGAACATGTGATTCTTCCTCTTGTATTCCATTAGCATGCCTATTCACATGGTCCCACCTATCTGCAAGGGGTCAAGAAATCTAGGGAGTAGGTAATACAATATTTGTGGAGCAGGAAATGTCTACTATCCCATGTTAGCATAAATATGCCTACAATTGTGACTCCTACTAAAATATATGCTCAGTGTTTGGTGGGGACAAGTGGGGAAATTATAAGCAAATCCCAAGGGATATTTTAAAACGGTGGCAGATTATACTTTCAAAAAATACCTCTTGTCCGATGGCTTTTGGAGACAGTGTCATTCACCAATCAGCATGTGCAGTCTCACTCCTTTCCTCGGAAAGGGGGTGGGCTTCTGACTCCTCTGTCATAGCAGACAAGCAGTGAAAGTGACCCAGTCTGACTTCATGACAAGATTTTAGAGCAACTTCATCCCACCACATGCACTGAGAATCTCACACAAGCCCTCAACTACCACATATCTGATGGCTCTCAGGCAGCCATGCTGTGAGGAAGCCACATACAGAAACTGAGGATACCAAGCGTGAGAGATCCCCAGCCAGCACT